TATGTGTGTATATATATATATATATATGTATGTATATGTGTGTATATATATATATATGTGTATATGTATATGTGTATATGTATATATATATGTTTAAAAAACAAAAGGGATAATGCATGTTAAGAAATTGCAAAAATACTTAATTAAATGGACCTATATTAATACTACAATAGATAAACTACAAATAGAATAAATAAATGGACATCAATATTAATGAAGTTAATAGCTCCACCCACATGTGATTAAACCCTTTTGTTTGTCATAGTCTTTCTTCTGACATTTTTTTGAACTGAGATAAAGATTATTTTGAACTGTGAATCATGCAAAGCTACTCTAATACAGCCAAACAACAAAACTATGGAGCTGAAAATTGGCTCAATAGATCCTCTTAACTATAAGCTCATCAATGCATTTAATGAACCTGATGAAGCACAGATTAAATTGTTGTTATTCACCCTATTCTGTAACCTCTTGTCCTGTGACCACCTTCTGCAGTACTTGCAGACTATCTCATCACGCCAGATGGACATGCAGAAGTTCATTGCTGACGGCTGCAGAGAGGCTTTGCTGGAAGAAAAGCGACGCTTCTGTTTCCTGGCGGACAAACACTGCATGTTCTCCGGTCAAATTAGCAACTTCTATGAGAACGTAAGCAAGGACGGAGATGAACATCCAGCACAGCCGCATCACACCTTCTATAATGGCTCATTTAACTTGCTCTCATTCTCTGGTGCTTCCAGGCCAAAGAAATACTGTCAGTGAAGATCCCCACCTGGCAGGAAAAGTGCAGCGACATCACCAAGGTGCCAGACTCTGTGGTGAGCATGATAGAAGGGCTGTCCGTCGTTCCACAACAATCACCGCTGGTTGATCACTGTAACAGGGTTAGTTTGATTTTATTATTTGATTTGTAAGTGTGAAATTTGTAGATGTTAAACATTCTTCTGTCATGTATTACCTTGTTCGATCACATATTCTCATCGTACCATGGGGGTAGTTTAGATTAAAACAGATGATAGAGCATGCTGTAGTGCATAAGGAGAACAAAGCATTTGTAAAAGACTGGCCCTGTGGGGTTTTTATTTTCTCAAGTTGTTGTGTTGTAGTTTATCTCGTTAAAGTAATGAAATCTATTGTATCAGATGAAAGCTGTTGTGTAAACTAGTAAGACATGGGTGATTGTTATCAGCAGGAAATCTCAGATGTGTTGTTGCTGTTGTGTGGTGTTAAGGTCCAGTGAGGCAACAGCTGTTTAGTGCTTCGCACGGGGGAAGAAAATTAACTCCATTTACTGTGTGACTGTTTGATTATAGCACTAAGGACCTGTTGAGATCTGAATAATGCCAATTCACTTTGTCATATTGATGCATCCGCTAATCAGTCTTTGTGATCTCTTCAGGTCAATGTGGACTCTGGCCCTCCTCCAGCACCACCCCTCAAAGCTCAGTTCAGCCCACTTGCCAACATGTTTAATCAAGAGCCCACATTTCCATTTAACTCCTCTTCAGACCACAACTCAGGTAAAGTTGGCTTATGTGAACTGCATAAATAAATATATAATCTTTATTGGTGAATATTAAATCAACTTTGTTATCTACATGATGTGTGATTTTTATTTTATTTTTTTTTTCTGTCTAAAATAGGCCAGACTCTCTCATATTTCCTGTATAAGTGTAAAGGAAAAATTCTCATGCCAGAGCTGTCCATTAAATAGCTGCAAAAACAGCTAGCCATTCCCCCAAATTAAAAAAACAAAACAAAACTTCTTTTACAACGGTTCAACAGAAATCTGGCAAAGTCTCATTTCTAGTCTCTTCTGCCTCCAGATCAGGGCAGTATTGGAGATGGCAGTCTGTCGAGATCTACATCCCAGTCATCTGGTCTGAACGTGAGCAAGAAGTTCCGGGTTAGAACCATTTTCCCTCACACAGCAGGCAACAACGACACGCTCCTGAGCTTCGATGAAGGCGACATCATCACTCTGCTCATCCAGGACGAGAAGGACGGCTGGTTGTACGGAGAGCTGGAGAAGACGCAGCAGTGAGTCTTCATCTGCTTTTGTATTCAGGGCTGTGTTGAAGGCTAAGAAAACCCGAGCTTAGTCTCCACAATCTCATTTAAAGTTACATTGTGTAATCTGGGTATCGTTCATTTTATTCACTCAATAGATTTGTTGTCTACAAATCCCAAATACCTCTAGTTGAATATTATTTATATTTATTCCTTTATTTATTCATTTTTAGGCAATATCAAAACATTAAAGGTACAGTTTGTAAAATCTCACCATTAGATGTCAGTGAATTGCAGATTGCAGTCAACTGAATTCTGTTTTCTTGTCCCTACCAGTCCCTTTCAAGTCCATAACCTTAGCTACGGTGGGTGCTTTAGCGTTTTAAAAAAATGTTAACTTGTTGGTACACCTAAGACAGGAATGATACTTCTGTTACAAGAAAGACGTAGCAGTCGTAACTCAGCTGACAGTACAAGTTTCTCTTTTGTGCTTTTGCTGCTTTGTCGTGCTAGTACCACATGCCTCAAAATACAGAGTATGTCCGGTATGTTCAACACGACAGTCGTAAAGCCTGATCTGGCTCACTCACATACACATGCAGAAAAACGGGTGCAAACACGCAAAAAACCCCAAAACAAAACAAACCAGGAGGCATCTTCTCATGTAAATTTTACTCAACAACATTTTCCTTCCCCAAACACGAGGGAGGAAAATATTTTAGCTGGAACTTTTATAAATTCCAATAAAGTCACACCTTTTTAGCAGCTGTGATTACGTGTCACCTCCAGAGAAGGAGGAAAAATGTTCACAGGTGCTAAATGAAAATCTCCCTGCTTTTTATTCTAGACAAACATAGCACCTGTTAGCTTTGCATCCACTTGTACAAATGATCAGGCTTGTTTATGTACAGCAGGCTGTGTTTGCATATGTGGCTGCAGCAGCATTACCCTCCTTCTGTGTATAATTACGTTCATATTCATCCTTGCCAGATCACTTAGGGCTCATCATGCAGGATTATGGAGAGCTTTCAGTTTGCGTTTGTCCCACTTTGAAAGAATTTACACGATCCTTATCTGCTTGTTGTGCGTGGCATTAAGCTGCCTTTTTAATTTCAAGTGATTTTAATGCAGTCAATGGCTTTTCTTTTTTTTTCCTTTTCTTTTTTCCCCCCCAAGAAGAGGCCGTGTTGGGAGAAATCAGTGCTTTCTGTTTCTTAGCAACAAATCCACTGCACTGGTCTGATAAGCCATCGTTTTCTCCAGACGTGACTTGGAGACAACTTTGGAGTCTTAGTGAACAAAATCTTCTATTCTGTGTCTGATGTTAGAATTTCATTCAAGTGTTTTGTCTGCTGCGGTGATTCTCTATCGTGATGGATTCCAGATGACGGCTAAGAAATTGCATGACTCGTTATGTAATCTTATTTTGACGTTTTTTAAAGATGAAACGATGTGCTTCTGTTCCCAGGCGGGGCTGGTTTCCCTCATCCTATTGTCGAACTTACACTGAGTCGGTGGTATCAAATAGGTAAGTGGTGTCAGAGCATGCCAAGCATTGAATCAATAACTTTTTTTATTTTAAATTTCACAGCTGCTGTTGGATAACTGAAGCTTTATGTAATGTGTCTCAGTAGTAATCTAGGCACGCCGGTGCATCATCTTAGTACGATTAGCCTGCCAGAGACTGAGGAGGAGGAGGAGGAAACAGTGTTGCTGCCACCACCAGACTACAGCGACGACGCCCCCTCCCGCCCAGTCGTCCTCTCAATGCCTTCGCCAGTAAACACGGTCAGTATCACCACTCGATTAAGTAAACCACCTGTCATCAGCTGTATCAGGAGCATTTCCAGAGCGTGACCTGATATCTTTTTTTTCCTCATGTTTTGATAATTCGGGTTGATATGACATATCTTTAGGTGGCAATGCTTTGAAATAGTGCTGCAGTTAAGCAATTTGAGTTTTGTAGGCATTACCAAGACCACGTGCTCTAGAAGAAAACGGATAAACAACATGCCTTTACACTGGATGTTTTGCTGTAACACAACAAGCATGTATAGAATTTGTGCAATTTCACAAATGATTGATTTATTAGGATGATCAGGGGTTGTCATTTAGGGAAGTTGTTCAGTGAGTGTGCTACTCAGCATTTTTCTGAATCTGCTCTGTAGTTTTCCATTACATTGTAAAACAATAAGTATACTTTTTTCTGTGTATTTCACACTGCTTTTAACAATCTTTCACATTATCATTTCTGCTCCTGGCTTTGTATGGCTGCAGCTATCCTTGATACGGTCGTCTAATTCACACATCTCTTGGTGTGAGCACAGAAGCTGCTGTTGAAACCTTTTGCTTGTGAGAGGTAGCCAATCGCAGGAAAGCTAGCCAAGAGAAGCTAAAACAGCTTTATTGAAAAATGAGCATAATGTGTCTCCTTTAAGCGCTAATATTGTTATGCTGACATGCTGGGCATTTAAAAATATTTCATTTAAATTTTATTTTGAAAAAAGACCTATACAAATACTCAAATACCCCACAGTGGCAAAAAACAGCCCCTTGAGATCATGATCTATCCAGCAAATTCAGTAATCATTTCCAGGTGCCTTGAAAGCTAGTGCAAGACCTGCCTTTGCCATTCAAGTCCATTCAAGCAGCGTCTCACTGAGCCACCTTTTAAAAACAGGGAGGTGATGTCGATTTCCAGTCCAATAAAAGTTTGCACCAATCACGCCTTCCCTCAGGGCTTTTCTTTGATGGGCCTTGTTCCATCAGATACTAACATGCTGTTACGTTTAATATTGGGCACCAACACAAAGAATAGCTAAGAGTGACGGTTGAAAGCTTGGAGCGAAAAGAGTAGCTGCTTGTCATCTTCAGCCCTCTTTGCTATTAGAAATAGGTCTGAGCTAACTGCAACCCCATATCTCACACATGCCCTCCCCTCTCTCTGTTGAGTTTTGACACCCAGTCTGTGAACAGAAAGGAGTTAAATGGTAAATGGACTGGTTCTTATATAGCGCTTTTCTACTCTTTCTGAGCACTCAAAGCGCTGTACACAACTTTTACATTCACCCATTCGCACAAGCACATTTTTCTAAGTGCTTTATAGCTAACATTCACACACATTCATACTCCGATGGATGCATCGGAGAGCAATTTGGGGTTAGTATCTTGCCCAAGGATATTTGGCATGCAGACTGGGGAAGCCAGGGATCGAACCACCAACCTACCGATCAGTAGATGACCTGCTCTACCACCTGAGCTACAGCCACCCAGTTAGTCTGCTGAAAAATCCAGAATGCAGTACTTGTCAAAGGATTGTCAAATACGACATGGTATGCTGTTCAGAACAGCTGTGCCTCAAGCACAAGCAAGTTTTTAGTTACTGATTTCAGTCAGATTTAAAGAAAGGGGTTGTTTTTGTTTTTGTTTTTTGAGGTTTTTTTTGGTCGGCTGTGGTTCTCTCTTCCACTTTGGACCACTCTGAACCACATGTCAAACTCTAGGCTACTTGGAGATAAAGAAAAAGAACCAAAAGAGTCATTGTGATTCACAAAGATGAATTTCTGCAAAGTTTGCATGGGAGTCTTGATATATTTAAGTCCTCAGCAAACATTGCACTTTGTAGAGACATTATAAAAGCTAATATCCTGCAGCTGCTCTGTAATCTGACATGCATTTCTCCCCGGCTGCTGCTCATTGGCGAAGTTTAAAGTTTGTGGAGTTAGTCATCATTTTAACACAAGGTTATTTCTTCCTGATGGGACACGTGCCCTTGCTGGGTCGTCACTCCACACCTGCACCATAAATGCCATCATGCAGGCAGAACTTTTAAGTCGAACTGATCACGTCTTATCAACATCTCCTTAGTGCGCAGTCACTGGCTCCACGCCCTTGAAACGGCACAGCTAGAAGCACACCCGTGTTCTGTAAACAAGGTTCAAGGAAATGCGCTATATTTATCAAGACTATAGTTTCCACGAATGATGTTTAATCTTCAGAGAAGTCACATTCAGTGGGGGCCTGTTTGTAATTTTGACAAATACAGGCATGACCGCGGTACCTAGAAGAAAAGTGTAAAACAAATTGGAGAGGAGAAAAAGGTGGTAAAATACTCCCAGACAGGTTTTGACTAGAGAAGAGTTACAGAGGGAAGCATAAAGGATGAGAGAGTAAAGTCTCAATTTAATTTTGTGACTGTGCTGTGCTGCCTGACTGAAAATGAACTATCTGTTGAGCCAGCAGGCAAGCCCGGGCACACTTCTTTCTCATCACCTTCCTTTCTGTTCTGGACTGTCTGTACTGTCCTCTGAGTTTGCTGCGTCAGGGTTTCACTATGAAATATACGACAGTGGGGGAAATACCAGCTCAGCGTACCCCAAAATTTTACATCCTGTTTGAGAAAGTAGGAGCTACAAATTTACCACCAAAAAAGTGTTTATGTTCAGATCAGCCCTATTAGCTAGCTATCAGTTACAATAATAGAACCCCCTGGGTGTCCTGTGAATTGTGGGAGGTGGGACCTCTTCCAGCACATCCCAAAAACGATCAGTTCATTTGGGATCTGGGGCTTTTTGAGGTGGGGTTAGTTTGTGTTCCACTGCAAAAGCAACTCAGGAGTGTCTCAAGGAACACGTTGTCCTTCCTTCTTACCATATCCACTACTAGGAAGTGCTGTTGCCATGGGGGTGTGTACATTGCCTGGTATGTGACAAAGGAAAAGCTGTGCATTATTCTAACAGTGCACAGTCACAATGGTCAGGGGTCACTTTACATCATAGTTGATCAGTGTGTGTTGGACACAATTATATTCTGTGCTGTTTGAGGGGAAAAATTGCAGGACACCTTTAAGCAAGGTTAGGGAGGGGTTTTTTTTGTGACATAATCAGTTGAACTGAAGAAGAAATTCTGTTTTTTTAACACAAATTTGATTGAGGTTTTCTCTTTGTGAAGCAAATCTGTGCTCATTTATTTGTGATTCATCTAATCAGAAGTAAAAGTTTGCTGAGAACTACAAAAAAAGCCAGGATGTTTCAAACAATGAATGATGAATGTGATGCCTTAAAAGCCTGTCTGTGGCTTTAAGAACTGTCACATTTTTTTTGTTGACACCTGGGCGTTGCCTGCTCTCTAGGGGAAAAAATGGGTAATGTCTGTTTCCTACAAAAAACGACAACAAAAAAGGCCTTCTCATACACATAATAAAATTATCTGCATGAGCTGATGTGATCTACCATGAAAAACAGAAACCACTGATGGTTCATTTTAAAACGTTTTGTCACGGGACATATTGTGTGACTACAGCAGCCCTCGGGGCATGCAGCTCAGAGATCTTTGCTCCTGAACTTCGTTGTTTTCCATGCTCACCTTTCACTCTGCTGGCAGTAAGATTATCACCACCCTAAGGTGAGAGGGGGTAAAAAAAAAAGTGTTTCAATTGCCAGCCTTTCTAGATTGTCTAGATTCCAGGTTCAGTGAGTTCTGAGTTTTGTGGTGTAATTATATGTCAAAGGAAGGTGGGGGGGGGACAACTGTTGATGGGAAGTCTGATCAAACCAGTCCGACAACTAGTGCTTTCTTAATAGCTGGAGGCAGTTTTTGGAGATTGCAATGATGCCTGTTGAACTTTGTGTTGTTTCCATTTTGGTGACTTAAAGTTAAAGAGTCATTTTTTCTGCTTTTTCTTTAATAACAGGTTTCTTTAGTCAATGGGACTCCAAAGGCTCCTTTTCTTGCGTGAGTGACACAGCTGGCAGATTTTCACACATCTATATGACTAATTAAAACTCTATTTGACAATAACCTCATACATCTTTGTTCATTTTCTTTCCGCAGAGGAGGGAACCCCTTTGCCATGGTCAAGCTGAAGCCGACTGTCACAAATGACAGATCTGCCCCACTCATCTAACTCTAAGCTTATTAGGGTGGTGGGGGGGTTCTTCACCGCTGTTATGCCTTCAGGGGACTCTTGTACTGGAATCATACAACCCCCTCTGCGACACACTGACTATCTCCCCAACCCAACATCTCACTAGCCTGCATGCTAGTTTTTTTTCCTCAGTACCAGCGCGTGTTTTATCATCAGCCACCACACGATAACCCACATTTGGAGACGCGGGAATTGTGAAAAACTGTGGACAAAGAAAGTGTTTGGTGTGCTCTTCTGGTTTGAGTTTGTATAACAAGTAAACATTCACAACAAAATGAACATTTAGACTTCCCTCTGATCCATATCGTTTTAGTAAAAGTAGCATTTAAATTGGTGAACGTGTTGCATTTCCTGTGGCTGCTTTGCAGTGAAAGCCGCCATGTGATCTGCAGTGCCATTAGAAAGTATTTGCTTTACGTTGTTTACCAGGAACTTAATATGACTCCTGATACTGAGCGGAGACAGAAAACTGTAAACAGTGAGGCTGTTATCAAAGTAATCAAATTGCACTGAATTGCAGTCATGCGTCTTTAAAGCAGTCCAGAGAAATCCACTAGAAGATTTTCCTCTGTCACTACCAGGAAAAAGTGCACATACACAGCTCCTCCAAGTAAACAGGTTGAACAACCATTGATTTTTACTCCTCAGTCGTGAAAGGCTGATGGGGTATTGTTGTCTACAAAATTGTTACTGATATGCTATTTGGTAGATGAAGTCTTTGTTTTCATTTTGGAATGAACCGGTCTCTCTATTGCTTTCTAAGACACTCGGTCAGGCTTGTTTCAATGAAAAATGATGAGATCCAGATGTAAACCTTTGCTACCTGATACTGATGAAACAGACAAGCATACAGTCTTCCTGACTTGCCAAAATATCTGTATCTTTAGCTCTTTCTTTTTTTTTTACTAGTTATTTTAGTTTACTTTACTAGTCTACTTTTTTTTTTTTTTTTTTTTTTTTTTTGTCAAGGTTTTTAGTTGTGAGAATGAAGGGAGCTTGATATTGGGAAAGAAGGGGTTTGTCATTGGATTAAAGGCAAAAACACTAACTCACAGTTTTGAATGACAAAGGTATTTATATATAAAATAAGTTTGTATGAAATATTTAATAAATCTGTAAACAAAAGTCAGACACAGCAGTCCGAGCCATGGATGCTACTTTTTTTTGTTGTTGTTTTTTTTGTTAGGCCTGACTGCTGCTTTTGCATATTAAATGGATAAGATGACCCTTTGATGAAGGGAATTATTTCACTCCTCATTGTTTGTTTCGTAGTTGTTATATGTAGCTTCTGTGCACAACACAGTTTATGCAAAATGAGAATGTACTTTAACGGCAATCATTTGAAATGTGCATAAGTAAAATGACTCATTGTTTGAAATATTCAAAGTGTTATTTTGTGAGGAAAATGACTTTTTCCCCCATGAATTTGCTTTTCTGAGTTCAGTTGTATGATGAGCAAGTGATTCATAAGACAGTTTATTGAATCGTATTAACCCGCTGATGTAAGTGAACCCATCACACTGCCATAATGAAACATGCTTTTCTTCCGAGTACCTTGCCACTGTGTCTTTTTTTTTTTTTTTTTCAATAAAACATAAAGCCTGAATGTTCATTTTCTGTTGTCTTCTCGCCAATTTAACTGTCTCTTAGCTGAAATGAAAGAAAGTGATTATAATCATAACTTAAGGACTGGAACATGAATTATAGCTTTACAGCGCCCTCTGCTGCTTGTCTGCTAAACAGCACCTCTACGAGCACCTGCTGCCACGGAAACTGCCGGTGGGAACAGAAATAACAGCACTTCCTGTTTCAAACTGAATCATTTCTGCTGTGAGTGAGCACCTACGGCACACAGAATGATTCGGACAGCTTACGATCCATCTCCACTGCATGAATGAACAGCTGTGACTTCTCACCACCGCCGACAGCCGCTTTATGAGAGGAGGCTCAAGGTTGGCTGCTTGAACTCTTTCAGTTTGCTATTTCTATCGGGCTAAGCCCGTAAGCCTGTACCAAAACAAGCTGAGCATCGTTAAATCATAGAGCTGGCTTTACTGCACACGTTCGTTTGGGGGCATTTCATTTCACATGTCCCTCTCCTGTCAGTCGCTTCTACAGTAAATATTTCAGGCTAATCTTACACCGTTGCTAATAGGCAGCTACGTACTTTATTACTTGGTAGTAAGCCCCACGGGTGAACAAGCGCAGTCGCTTCAAACATGTGTGTGTGTGATATCTTTATGTATTTTATTGTTACCATCAACCTGGTGTGTGCTGCATGTACAGCTGTGAGTGACAGGATACGCCTTGTAGCAGCAGCAGCGTCCCTACTTGTTACGAGATGCTGTGAAACAGTTGACTGCCACTTAGCTAGCCCAGAGCCCACTCTGTGATCTGTGTACATTTCACACACAGGCTTGGTTATTACAAATGCCACACGTATAGTGTGTTAAATGTGGGTCAGCAAATCGCGCTGAGAAGACATCGAGCAACGCAGTACAAAGGTCATCGCCACTACAGCGCATGATCCAAACAACTAGTTTACAGATGGGTAAACAACTGTTCTCTAAGGAGGCCATTTGGCCCCTATCTCCCTATTTCCCACACACACTTTGTTCATATTTGTGTATAATTGTGGCCTGCTTTTTCCTTCTGTACTGTTGGTGGGTTGTCTTTAGGCTCCTGCTCATTTTAAATTGTGTGGTATGCTTTGCTTGATATGCAGTGGTCATGAAAAATATATTTATACTAATCAAGCATAACATTCTGACCACTGACAGGTGAAGTGAATAACTCTGATTATCTCTTCATTATGGCACCTGTTAGTGGGTGGGTATGCTAGGGAGCAAGTGAACATTTTGTCCTCATAGTTGACATGTTAGAAGCAATAAAAATGGGGAAGCAAACAATTTGAGTCAGTTTCATAAGGGTCAGATTGTGATGGCTAGATGACTAGGTCAGAGCATCTCATAAACTGCAGCTCTTGTGGGGTGTTTCTGGTCTGCAGTGCTCACTATCTATTAAACGTTGTCCAAGGAAGGAAGAATTGTGAACCAGCCAAGGATCACAAATACACTTGGGGTACAAAGTCTGGCCTGTGTGGTCTGATCCAGCTGAAGAACTTCTGTTGCTGCTTGTAGAATAATTTAATGCTGGTTTGGTTCTGGAAAACAAACAAACAAAATCGAGTCCATCACAGTTTGTTGCATATGGGGCTTCATAGCTGCAGACCAGTCAGGGTGCCCATGCTGACCCCTGTCTACGCCTGAAAGCACCACCAGTGAGCATGTGAGCCACAAAAGAAGATGTGCCTAATCTGATGAATCATGTTTATTTGATATCATGTGGACGGCCAGGTGCATGTGGGTGCTTTGCTGGGGAACACCTGACACGACGATGGACTATGGGAAGAAGGCAAGCCGGCTAAGGCAGTGTGATGCTTTGAGAAATGTTCTGCTGGGCAACACTGGGTCCACGTGGATGTTACTTTGACACATAACGCATATCTAAGCATTGTTATAGAGCACGTACATGCTTTCATGGAAACAGCAGGATAATGCGAGAGGCCTGAGAACAGAAAACATTCAAAAATTGAGACAGATAAATAATAAAAGACATGATCGATCACATATTAAGAAAAAGATATGCAAAGGAAGTTGCAGATGAATCAGAGAATCAGAGATTTCAGTGGAACAGTACAGTACAGTACAGCTGCATTTTTAAATTTCTTTGCTCTTTCCATTATTTATCAGCAGTGAAGTATTTCAATCCAGGTTTTCTAAGTTCAGACTGATCAGGAGGTACAGCTAATGTTAAAATGTCCCATGAACTGACATTGTAAGTACTGGTTTAAATTCAATCAAGGGAATCTTGGGAGCAGAGCCTTGTAAGCAAACATCATACAATGCTGCTCACTGCGATTTGCTAGGGAACACCATCCCACTTTTTCATATAAGATATAGTGTTGAGTAAGAAAAGAATCACTTGTGATAAAATCATAATGCACTGCGATACAGTGAGGGGAGATTGGTGGGGGAGACAGATGGACTGGTATAGTGTCTGCAGTATTGTAGAATCACTGTATCCATCTGTTGTGATAAAGAAATAGTTTACTGTGAAAGCAAAACTGTCAGTTTTACTGGCTGATCGATGTTCCTGCTTTTATTTATAGTCACGTATGGTTTGGAGTGAGTGAAAAAATGAGATTGCAGATAGAAGCAGCTGAAACGCGTTTCCTCCAAAGTGTCTCTGGGCTCAGCTTTAGAGAAAGTGTCAGGAACTCACTCATTTACAAGGGGATTTAAGGTGTTTTAACCATCTGACTAGGATGATGTTTCACACATGTCTAAAAGGGAGGGACAAATCCCATGCTGGCATCGGAACACCATGGTGTCCCCCAAGAGAGCTAGAGGAGACGGCCAGGAAGTGGGAGTTCTAGACTGCCGGCTCCACGTACAAGTCCACGCATGGACCAACTGTGAAGGATTCAAATTGAGTTTTTACTGATCTGCTTAAAGTGTCCAACCCTATCTCTGAGCCAATTTTACTTATTTTTGCCATGTCCAAAACATTTTTATGAGGCCCAGAGTTTTTAAACACACACTTCAGCTTCTTTACACAGCAGCTGATGCCAAATCTTGTGGTACACGTCCCGGTGTTATAGCCATTCATTCTGGGAAATTGTACAACCTAATTTCAAAGCCACATTATCAGCATTAACCCATTTTCTTCGTCAGGTTCCAGGTGCAGCCATGCCCGTCTCCCTGCTGTGGGCTGTGGACGTCTACGGGCGGGTCTACGGCCTGTCCACGGCGGGGCAGCAGTGGGATCAGTGCCGCGATGCCCAGATGGAGTTCAAGCGGGTCACGGCGGCACAGCAGTGCTGCTGGGGCATCGCCTGCGACAACAACATCTACCTGAACGTTCACGCTTCCGACTTGTCCATCCGCTACCAAGAGGAGACCTATGAAAATCAAGTGGGTCTCTGTGACTAGTCGGGGGCTGTCACTCTTTAATGACTGTATTTACATTAAAATAAGTTCTTGTAAAAGCCAAGAAATATGTAATAAGGAACCCACATTATTTGTCTGTCTTTAAGCAAGTTTGTTATACCTTTTCTTTTTATTATTATCGCACAAGTAAAATTGAAAGTTAAAGTTCCTCATTATATGTTCAGCATCCTCATAAGGCAGAGTCCCACTTCTCTGTTGCTAAATCCACAAGCCATTAGGCTACGTGCTTTAACAAGTGACCCTTAGAAGCATGCTAAACGAGTTTTTAATGGGAAAAAATTCTCACAGTGCAAGATCACGAGACCTTTTTTAACACTGCTTTGTCAGACTATCCCCATTAGGTCGACACTCAGTCATTTTCATTCTTGTGGCCACATCTTCGTGAGATATCTCACTAAAAGTGCTCTTGTTTTCCCTTAATATGAAATAAAAGGCAACACCACCGGCTTTAACGCAGTTCACTTTCTCTTTTTGTCAGCGTTGGAATCCCGTAGACGGTTTCTCTGAACGTTTGCTGCCAAGCGACCGCTGGCAGTGGAGCGACGTCACAGGTCTGCAGCACCAACCTCTGGACAGCTTCCAGCTGCCCTCCAGCAGCTGGGAGTGGGAGGGTGACTGGTATGTGGATGAAAACTTTGAGGGAGAGCCCACAGAGAAAGGGGTGAGTTTAAAAAATGTGTGTCTGCTTCAATTACTGCCCTTTTTTCCTTTCTCTTGTGTGACCTGTTCAGATGTTTGTGTTTCCAGGGATGGACCTATGCCATCGATTTCCCTGCCACCTATACTAAAGACAAGAAGTGGAACTCCTGTGTCCGTCGCAGGCGATGGCTCCGCTACAGGAAGTACAAAGCAATGGACACCTGGGCTAAGGTGGGTGTTACTGTATAACATATGCATGTAATGAGTGCGATGGGTTAATGTGCGTTTTAAGTTCTTGTTTTCCTT